ACAACAACCACAGCATCATCATCAACAACAACAACCACATCAGCAGCATTATCAACAACACCAGCAGCCTGCAAACATCCCAGCCACTAACCATTTGCAATACTCTCAACCTAACCATCATCACCCACCATTAACAAACCAACAGCCATCAAACTTCAACCCTCAGAATCCAATCCAACAGCAACAACAACAACAACAACAACAGCCTACTCCAGATGCAAGCCTATCCTATGGTCTATCAAACATCAACCTCGGCTCGACCAGCGTTAGTAAACCATTACTATTTAAAATCACTCAGCTTACTAGGAACTGAACCTTTCCCTCTCTTTCTGTCTGAATTCAGCAACCAGATGGAACTCCAATCACCAAATCCAAAAGACCAGCTAGAGCATTCCACCAAGAAACCCAACCCTCAACCGCAACCGGACTTAACTCACCCATGCCGCCTCGGCCGGACTTAAATAATAACGCACCCTCATCAGCCTTTCGTCACCGACCCGATCGACCAGAGCATCTACAGCGTTATGAGCACCAGCCCATGCCAGCCGTCCCACCTGGACCACCTCTCGACCAGCCAACCCAAACTAACTCGATCCAGCCTCTATTTCAGCAACCAAACCAACAGCGATCAAGTGGACCACGCAATCGGATCGACCCTAATCAGATCCCTTCTCCCGTGATCGTACATGAGCAAGATGCCGAGATATTCTCTCAGGAACCCTTCCGAACCTGTCAATCCGTCTATGCCGGCGCAAACCCTCAATCTTTTGGCCCCAATCATCCACCACCACCCCCACCTCAGATCCCACTCAGTCTGACAGATTATGTGGCAATCGACGAAGGCAACTGCTCCCCGAGATTCATCCGGGCAACCACTTACTGTCTGCCCGCATTGGATGACATTGCTCAAGCTGCTGAACTACCTCTAGGCTTGGTCATCCAACCTCTGGCCGAACTAGGACAAGGTGAAGGAGACATGGTGCCAATCGTCGATTTCAGTCAAGATCCCACCGGCCCTCCACGTTGTAGTAGCTGTCGAGGGTACATCAATCCCTGGTGTACATTCATCGATGGTGGCCATCGCTTCAGATGTAATCTATGTGGTAAACCAAGTGATGGTGAGCAGATGTAGATTTATGGTAAATTGTGCGATTCAATCTGATTCTGATGATCATCATCATCATCCCCTAGTACCTTCTGCATACTTTTGTCACCTTGATATGTCCGGTCGGAGGGTTGATCATTACCAACGTCCTGAACTGTGCAGAGGATCGGTAGATTTCATCGTCAATCAAGACTACTGGGTCCAATCCGACTCCTCGGATTCCAAGTTGAATGCCCGTGTCCCTCAACCGATGAAATATCTATTTGCGATCGACGTCAGCTGGTCTGCTAGCAAGAGTGGGATGTTGCAACAGATCACCAAGTCGATCAAGTCGATTATCTTCAACCAAGATCCTCAAGAGCAGGAGGTAGATGATGATCTCGAGTTCCCATCCGAAAGCTTGAAGCCTGCTCGGCAGTTCCCGGTTGGCGCTCAAGTAGGCTTCATCACCTTCGATCGCACCGTTCATTTCTACAACCTGAAGGCCGGCCTGGACCAAGCTCAGATGCTCGTCGTACCCGACCTTGACGATATGTTCGTTCCGATAGGCGAAGATGCCCTCTACGTTGACCCATCTGAATCTCCAGCCATGATCCATAATTTGCTCGACAGTCTACCCTCTATGTTTGGAGAGAATAATATCATGGAATCTGCCCTCGGTGGACCTGTTCAAGCTGCATTTTCTAGCTTGGTAAGCTCCATGATGCATCTCATTTTTGTGTCTCCTAGTTTTTTATCGAAAGGGAATTCAAATATTCGAACTGACTCGTTTGTGGGTTGTATGATCTCAGAAACGGCTGGGAGGACAAGTAAACATCTTTCTAACTTCCTTGCCGACGATTGGACCGGGCGGATTAAAGCAAAGAGAAGACACCAAACTTTACAATACTGAGAAGGAGAGCACGTTATTCAATCCAGCCGATCCTTGGTATCGACAGGTTGCAGAGGAATGTTCATTGGCTGGAATTGGTATCAACATGTTCTTGTTCCCATCTCAATACATTGATGTCGCTACCATCAGTCAGTTATTTCTTCTTATTTTTTTTGGGGGGGGGATATATGATATATTTGCACTCTGGGAGATCTGATTGGTTTTTTTGGTTACATACATAAACCTTCTCGCAGGTGTTTTATCTGGTATCACCGGTGGCGAAGTCTTTTTTCACCCCAGATTTACTCCACAAAGGGATTGCTTCAAAGTGCATTCCGAACTACGTAGAGTCCTGACCAGGGAGACCGCAGCTAGTGTGACGATGAGGATCAGGTGCTCGAATGGTAGTTTAATCAGATGCATTCTTCTCGATCGACTGTTGCCCAAGTAAAAATCACTGACATGATTTTGTGTTTGTATATGGTAAAAAAACAATCCAGGGCTAAGAATCTCCGAGCATTTCGGATCGTTCTTGCAACGGAATGTGACGGATCTAGAGTTTGGAAATTTGGATGCCGATAAAGCGATAGCTGCTATACTCAAGATCGAAGGCAAATTGGAGGAAAACTCTTCCATCGAAGCTCAATTTCAATGCGCTCTGCTATACACTTCAGCTACTGGACAAAGAAGGGTTAGATGTCATAATCTAACGCTACCTGTCACCAGAGTCATTGGCAACATCTTCCGGTCGGCTGATATGGACGCGACTATGGCTCTGTTGACGAAACAATGTCCGTCAAATCATATACCTTGTATTGCTTGATCAGCTATGTGCTAATGTATTTTTTTGATTTGATTTGATGTGGGGTTGAACAGATATTGCCCAAATTGTTCAAGTCCCATTACGAGATGTTCGAGCGACTTTAACCGAGAGTTGTGTGAAGATCTTACTAGCTTATAGAAAACATTGTGCCTCCTCAACTTCACCTGGTCAACTAATCCTACCGGAGTCGTATAAGCTCTTCCCATTATACGCCCTCGGCTTGATGAAGACCAAGGCGGTCAAAGGAGGCAATGTCTCGTCTGACGTCCGAACCCATTACATGAGATATCTGAAATCTCTCGGCGTCGCTCAAACTATCCTGATGCTCTATCCAAGATGATTCCCATACATTAGCTGGGCGAAATGCCTGATGCCTGTCAATTCATCCCAACAATCACAGGTTATCCTTCCTCCTTTGATGAGCCTAGTTACTTGAGGATGAAGCCGATGGGGTTATCTGAT